GAAAATGGCTGATTCGACTTCTTTGTCTTCTGTCTGCTGCAAAATGATTTGTTTCCTCTATCCTTGGTGCTAATCTGCATTCGTAATCGAGATGGCCATACTTGTTACAATTATAACATTGCAATTGTGATTTATCGTCTCATTGTTGAAATCGCCTCTTCCTTGACTTCTAGATCCTCGACCACGACCATATATTTGATAGCCTTCATTTCCTTGGCTTCTTTCGAAGGAGTTTGTGCTACATCCTCGTCCACCACGTACACCTGCTGTAACCAACTGCGTAGTTACCTCTGTAGCCATCTTTGTAGCCACCTCCGTAGCTACCTCGATTTCCTCGACCTCGTCCACAATTGCTTGGTGGCTTAATTGTCACCAATATATAACTTGCTTTGCAAAGCTTGCTCCAGATTACCGGTATTTTCATTCCGGTTCATTCTCTGCTCATGAGCTTGAAGAGAACCCACAAGCTTGTCAATCGAGATTTGTGACAAATCTTTTGATTCTTCAATAGCGATAACGACATAATCAAATTTTCTTGTCAACGAACGTAAGAGTTTTTCCATCACTCTAACATCATCAAGAGTTTCTCCATTTCTTTTCATATCGTTTGCCATCGTTTTCGGATGAGTGACGTAATCATTGATCTTTTCGAATTCGCATTTTTAAGGTCTCAAATTCGGATCCGAGTGATTGGAGTCGTACCTTTTTAGCCTTTTTGACTCCTTGAAGAGATTTCGCGAATCTCCCATGCCTACTTTGATGTCTTGGCGTCTAATACTTTCTCAAACGTTGATTCATCAACTCCTTGAAAAATGAAAAACAAGGCCTTCTTATCCTTTTTGCGTGATTCTTTAAGTGCTTGTCTTACGTGCGTTTGTTAAAGATGCTTCGGCAGCAGCATCTTCGGGCTCTGTATATCCTTCTTCAACAATCTCCCATAAATCGTGTGAACCGAGTAGAACCTTCATTTGGATGCTCCAGTTTCCATAATTTGAATTTGTTAATTTTGGGATTTGAGGCTGAATCATTTGGGCCATCATCTTGCTTGAAAGGAAGACACGAACCTTGCTCGATACCAGTTGTTGGAAGCGTGCTAGGCTTTAACTCAAATGGAAATATTTATTGATGATATAGTGAGTACAAAAGAAATCTCTTCTCTCTCAAAAATATTCTCTCAATAGATGGGTGTTACAACACTCTCAATTTTTTCTCTTGATAGCTACTGCTGCTATCTAAGTTTCTACTCTCTCTTTTCTCTTATGATCTCTCTCTTTTTTTATACATCTTTATTACAACAAACACAAGTTCTTATTTATAGACATGCTACACCGTCATTGAGGATTAATCTAGACAACTTATACATGACTTTGACACCTTATATCCTGCTGGAATTGCAGACTTTACAGCTCATGTATTTCATAAATTCCACCGACTTTGACAGCCCAATTCTTGCTGGAATTTCACCGACTTTTGACAGCTTATATAGCTGCTGAAGTTTGCACCTCCTTTGACAGCAACTTGCACCACTTGTACAACTCATTTCTAACTAATATACATCCACTTAATCTGCACCTCCTATACAGTTTTGTGGCTGTGATTTGTTGCTTCATTGCAACGGGTTTGACTTCCAACAGTATCAACCTTTGACCCAATAAAACCAAGATTAAGCAAGGTATGAGAGAGTTAGTGAAACCAAGAATGTGTAGCCTGTTTGAGACCATAGAGATTGCGCTTGAGAAGATGAACATTTTTTGGTTTGGTTGGATCAACAAAGCCTTAAGGTTGACATATGAAGACCTATTCATCAAGCTTGCCATGCAATAAGGCATTAGAAAAATCTAGTTAGGTAACATCCCAACCTTTCGTAACAACAAGGGATAGAATCAAACGTATCATTGTGGGTTTGATGACGGGAGAGAAAGTTTTTATATAGTCAACTCCTAGACGTTGATGGAAACTCTTAGCCACAAGTTGTGTTTTATGACGTTCAATGCTACCATTGGACTTGTGTTTGGTACAATGGATAGCAAATATTTTATGATGGATGTGCTGGAACCAATTCCCATATGTCATTTACAAGTAATACATTGACCTCATCTATCATAACATGGCATCATTCATTGGATTTTACTGCCTGAGTATAAGTTTACGGATTCATATGTGGCATGACAAAACTAGAGAGAGCTTTAGGCTTTAAGGAGACATTTTTAAATCTTGTAATCATTTGATATCTAATGTACGGTGCATGGAGAGACAGGTGGCAAAGTGTCCTTTGTTGTAGTAACAAGTGGGGGAGTTGGAAAAGCTGTGATAGAGTCTGTTAAATCCATTATAATGTTAATACTTGAACATGTGAACATGTAGGGCTGCTGGCTGGTGTAAGACTGGTGATCGTATGCTGTTGCTATTGTTGATTTGAATTGATAATGGTTGTATTGACTAGTTAGATAAAAGGCATGATTGAATTTGTAGCAGCACATGGAATGATAGGAGCTGATTGCATTGGTTCGATATAATGGTTTATGGGCAGAGGTGCTGAAGAGTTGGTGATGGGTAGCAACTAGACACTAGGCCTTCCAATGGATCGAATGCTTGAAGGAGAAGCAGGATATGGAAGGATGATAAGAAAATGACACAAACGATCAATGAGAAAGCCAGACGTGTCAGCCGACATAGGGGAATCTGATGAAATAGAACAAGGACTAGGTAGTGTGAAAGGAAACTCAGTTTCAAAAAAGATAACATGCCTTGAAACATAAATTCAACCTATAGATGGAGCCAAGCAGAAGTACCACTTGTAAAGCTTGTTGTATCCTAAAAACACACACCTTTGAGATCGTGGATCAAGTTTACTGGCAGCATATGAGCATAACCAAGGTAACATAGACACCCAAAGGTTTTTAAAAAGTGGAAATTAGGAGTTTCATGAAAAAGGACTGTAAATGGCACCTTGTGTGAGAGAGTACGCATTGGAAGCCTATTAATCGTATAGACAACAGTATCAACTATATAGGTCTAATATTTTAAAGGAACATGAGCATGATTTATTAGCGCTAACCTAATTTTGATAACATGTCAATGTTTGCATTCGGCACGACCATTCTGTTTAAGGGTACGAGGATAAGAACTGCTTTGAGTGATACCATTTTTTGCAAGGTACTTTATGAGAGTCTGATACTCGCCACCCCAATCAACATAAAAAAACTTAATAGGTACATTAAAATACTTTTCGACCATAGTTTTGAACTTAATAAAGGTACTAAGTACTTTAGATTTGTATTTAACAAAATAAATCTATGTGTACTTGCTAAACTGATGAAAAAACAAAACATAATATTGAGCACCAGCTATGGAAACAACCAAGGATGGTCCCCAAACATCCGAACAAACTAATTCAAGAGGTTATTGTAATTGAAATCTAGATAATGAAAAAGATAACTTCGTACTTTTACTAACACTACAAGCATGAGAAATAAAACTAATGTCCTTATTTGAAATAGGGATATTGTTATTTTAGAGAACCTGACGGACAATCTTTATAGAGGCATGACCCAAACAATCGTGCCAAGGAGATAAGGTGGTTGACAAAGCTTTGGCCAAAGATCCTAAGGAGGAGCGACTCCAATGCAAGTGATATAGTCCATGTTTATTCCGCCCTTTGTGAAGAATTACCTTCGTGTGGATATCGTTAATGACAAAGTAGGTAGTAAAGAATTCAATAGATACATTATTAGCTTTGGTGAATTAGCTAACTGAAATTAAATTCTCAGATACAGTAGGAACATATAATAGATTTTTCAAGAAAAAATTCAAGGCAAAATTATAGTCATTTAGAGTAATAGAAGAATGATTAATACGAGAAATCGAAAGAATTTTACCATTGCCAATAATGACCTCCTCAAGTTAGTGTAATCAGAGTGAAATGCCAAATTTCCCATGTCTGATGTAAGATGATGAGTGGCGCCTGAATCTACAATCCATGGCTGATGTGGTGGAGTGCTGTAGCTAGCAGGTTTAGCACGCTGATAAGATCTGCTATCGATCCTTTATTTTGGTGAGGGACATTGGTGTGAGATATGTCTATGTCAATGACAAATATGGCAAACTAAGCTGTTTGTATCTAAATAGCAAGAAGCAGGTGGATTGAATGAAGAACATTGAGCTGAATGAGAGGGATATATACCATTATAAGTGCTATCAGGACACTAACTACGACCCCTCTATCTTCTACCTCTGTCATGATTAAAACTGCTACCATGTGGAGAAAAATGGGCAGTAGGCATTTGCACCGTATCATGCACAGCTGCTTCCACGGTTAGTTAGCATTCTTCACTTAACAACAGCCTATAAAGATCATCATAGGAGATGGCAGTTAGCCTAGATTTCAAAGAGCATACAAAGGGATGATAAACACTCCTAAGTCCAGCAAGAATGGTATCAACTAAAGTCTTTTGTAGCCATAGAACTACCAAGGGCTGATAGTTAATCAGCAAAGGACTTGGCACGCTACATATATGTTGGAATGTCATCATTATCACCATTTAGATGGGTAAGCTATGCTTTGAGTTGGCAAATTTGTGTGCCTGAACCAGTTGTATAGACAGTTACAAGTTTAAGCCATGCATCTCTTGTTATACCTGCACCAACAACGTGAGCAAAGATCTTTTAAGACAAAGATGATACTATCCAGCTCAGGATGACTTGGTCTTGACAGTACCAACTGGTGTAGGCAGGATTGGTAGATCCATCATCATGAAGGATGGATGGAGGATCTTGTGTTCCATCAACATGATGAATGAGATTGTGGCCCCTTAATACTGGCAATAGCTGTGTCTGCCATAGAAGATAGTTTGTGGAGTTTAGTGCTATGGTGGTTAGGTGAGAGAGGGATGATGTGGGGAAGGAGGCTGACTGTGATAATAGGAGATGGGCAGTAAAGGATAGGTTGGTGGAAGCACTTGTTGCTGACATTATGGGCAGTAGCTGATGGCTAACTGAAAATGGAGGAACCTATAGAGGAAGCTGTAACGTAGCAGGAGTACAGGGTTGGTAAAAAAAGGAAAGAAAGAAACGTATCTCTTTGGCTATTACGCTTAGGATAGCTCTGATACCATAAAAAGATTTATGTGCGATAATTTAACACACCATTGAGAGTTGTATATTGATATATTTATAGCTTATAGACTTCTTGTTTAACAGGGACTAGTATATACAAAGATGAACACAAGAATAAATAGAGTTCTATCATATTTAGAATCTTTATCTATATACAATTCTATCATTTATCACTTCTAGTCCACAGCTCTCCTCATCTCCAATATCTTAATTTCTATCATTTTTAATAAACTTTCGCCTTACATACATTATGATAAGTGGATTAGCTAAATTTTGTTACTTAGTAAGTTTATATTGATTTACTTAATGAGTGAGCTGAATTTTTTAGTAATGCTAACTTTTTTTGCGCTCTTCTTTAATGATTTCCTTGAAATCTTAATTTCAATGTTCTTTTTTTCTTGTCGATGTATTGATTTATAAATCTAATATATATATATATATATATTCTAATGGCTATTTGAAGAAACTGAAAATTCTTTTTATCATTAAAAAAAAAAAATCCCCTTTCTTTGCTTAGAAATAGCACATCCTGGAAGTATGTAAATGAAACTTACAAAATGCCAAATCAACTTATTGAAGAAAAAGTAAGTCTCTCATGGTACAAGGCCTCCATGCTTTTCCTATTCGAAATCATTGGATGGGATGGATTCTCTTGAAGACATGAAGTGACCTCTTGGTGATGATAACACTCTTCAAACTTAGCTACTAAGGAGTTGGCTGGAGTTATCTGATGCACACCGTCTTAGTTAAAACCCAAACCACGTGGAAGTGTTCTTTTCGTTGGTTCTTAATCTTAAGCTATTCATTCATGATAGTGGACATGTCAATTTGACTCTTTAAGAACAACTGTTTAATCATAAGTGGGAAACTGCAACTCCATATTATTGTTTAATAAAATACAAATCTAACAACTGTTTAATCATGGCCTCCATGGATCGATTGTTGTCAATTTGACTCTTTAAGAACAACTGTTTAATCATTTTTTTTTAGTGGGAAACTGCATGTTTCCGTTTGTCTTTGGGCTTAAACACATTTTTCTTTTTCTTTTTTATAGATTCATTTCAGATTTCATTCTTATTCGGTTTGATTCCGTACAAAATGATGAAAAATATATCCTTTGGGTTTGGTTGGTTTAATTATTATCTCAAAACAATTTAGTTTATGATAAAAACAATTTTAATTAATTTCTACTTTTTTATTTATATAAATAAATTTGGGATTTTTCACTTTTCACATGTATTTTTCGATAGCTTTATTAGCAGTGCCCAATGAATGGCCGACAATGAATCTCAAAAATATATTCTTTATGACTCACCTAGACTTTATTTTTTTTAACTTTTGAAAAAGAAGATGATCAGCTTTCATTCTTTATGACTCACCTAGACTTTAAATCTTCGTCCTTTTGAGTGCTTAGATCCAAAGAAAGAACGAGATAGAACGTTTTCGTTTCTTAAATCTTCTTATCCATAAATAAGATATAGAAACTTGTTGATTTCCTGTGTATATCATCTTCTTTCTATATATATATATCTTGATCTTGGATTTTCAGGAAATGATCTTCCTTGCTACTCGGTACTGATGTTTTATCATTACATTTACTTCACTTTCAAAACCTTAGTATCTATATGCATGTTTATAATTTGATTCTGTTTTGTTGAGGATGATCTAAGGTTACGCAGTACCAAAACTTTTCTGTTTTTTTTTTTTTTTTTTTTTGGACAACTTAGCCTAATCAGTCTTATGAGCATTTATATATATATATATATATATATATATATTGGGTTCAGTTTCTTAGACTGAAATAGTGAAATGGCATATGAATCTTGATTTGTTGGCTAGGAAGGAATCCAAATAGTTGATTTGTGCAATATGTTACCCTTCCGACATGCTTGTCTTTTCCAATTTTCTTTTGTTTCCAAAATAGAGTTGATGCCAAGCTGAATTCTTTTCAGGTGTCCTTCCTTGACAACTCTGTCATTACCCTTCGATATTCTTGGATCATCCGTTATTCCAACTCTGATAGGGAAGTGGCAACATTTGGAGAATTTGACGCTTTCTTTTCTTGATGATTCTGAAAAATTTGAAAATATAATTACCCAAATAGATCTTTGCTGCAAGAATTTTTCTTACCTACGTATAATCAGATTGACACCAATCTTCCAAATATAAAGTACCTGGATCTCTGTGGGGCATTGATCGATTTGAAGAGTCTATTGATAATATTGGAAGGATGCAAAAACCTTGAATATTTGGATGTAAGCGGCTGCATAGGTTTTAGACCTAATGAAATGGTACTGGAGCTAGCTTCGCATATCAAGACATTCAAGTGCGAAGGTTCAATGCTTGATGAGGAATTTGACGCTGCAATAATGGAGGACTATATTGATGCACTATGTGGAAATTCAGATGAGGATTTGGTATTATATTAAAAAAATAAAATGTATTATTACACATGTAATTTTGAATAATTTTAAAAGTGTAAAAGTTGGTTTTTAAGAATGTCTAGTTAATTAAAAATATAATTGATTTCATGATCCTATTGGAATGAAGTTTCTGATAAATAGAATCAAGGCGATCTCCTTAGAATAAAGTTTAAGAATGTCTAGTTAATTAAAAATATCATGCCTTGTGGTACAAAATAAGCTTCCAATTTTGGGGGCATGTTTCTTTCTCTACCTTTTCTTTTCTGTAAACAACAATATATTGTACTCTCGAACACCAAGCTCCGAAACGACAGGATTTAAATGATGATATTATCTCAGATTGTTCATCTTGTTTTAAACACCAAGCTCCAAAAATATCATCTCCTTTTTTTAGGATCAACTACTCTTTGATTCTCAGATTGTTCATCTTGTCTTAAACACCAAGCTCCGAAACGACAGGATTTAAATGATGATATTATCTCAACGTAGGCAAGATGTAAGTTTCTTGATGAATTGAAATCTTGTGCGATTTAATGTTTAATCCAGGTAATTGATCAATTTCAAGAAACAAAAAGCCTAAATTGAGTTCTAATAATTTCTAAGCAAATTAATATGAAAAACTATAATTGAGTTTCTTGACTGTTGTTGATCATTGTCTTATTAGATTTTTTCTTTTTTTTAATTCCAAATATATGTTTTGAAAATTAAAAAAAAAAAAAAAGTAAAATAAACTTTTGAACAAGAGTAGACTAGTCCCCAATCCATTTTCATTATTAAATCTATTTTTTGTTAGCAATGTCATCCTCCCGCCAAGTCTTCACCCATTCATTAAGTTTGACCTCATGGGTGGTCACACGATCCATTAAAAAAATGAAATATATTCTTGGTAAGTGTGAGCATTGGTTTTTATTTATTTTTAAGTTTTGGTTTTTAACATTTCAGTTTAGTTTTTTGTTCATCAAAAGCATAAACAAACTAGAACTAAATTTGTACTCGGTTTTTCAGTTTTGATTTTGTTTTTTTCCCCAAAAATTGATTTTTGTCAATTTTTTTATTATTATTGAAAATCATATAAATAGCTCAAAAAATATTATGAACTATAATTCCTTCCTGTGGCCTAAATGGTCTACATTAGTGTACATGGAAGATAATAAATGGTTACGAGTTCGAATCTCACTGTTTTTTCCTCTCTTATTAAAATTAAATAATTAAGCAAAGTTCAAACTTATTCCATCTATAAGCAAATCTATACTAAAATTTTTAGTAATTTATTTTTCAATATACACTAATAAATAATCGAAAAGAAAGTTATCTTCCGTCTTGTTATGAAGTTTAATCTTGACTATGATAATAGTTGAAAATGATCGCTCCGTGATAGCCATAGAAACCGAAAGAGTAAGAATAAGTATTAACACTCTATACACAAGTGGATAACTTTTAAATTTTTTTTCTTTCTTAGCATTGACACAAATCGGATATAGTTAACAATGTTTCGAAATCGGAAAGATTACATACATTATCAAAATGCTTAAATTTCATTCTTAATTATATTATTTCATGATTGGCAAAGTCTTAAGGGTAAAATTTCTATACAAACATACAAATGTCATTAATCCTAAATGATATGCACATCTCTCTAGGATCTAAAACGGAACTATGAATGAGTAGCTCTATCATGTGATTAATGAATCTATTATTTAGTTCTTACAATTGAGAATCTATCACATCATTAAATATATCAACTTTGTAGTGATGCTTAACCATAATTGCATTTTGTTGATGACGAGTGCTTCCTTTTCTTGCAACATAATGAGCACTCGAGTCCGGTATGGATATGTTGACCACTTCTCGAAAAGATTTTGCTTTTGAAATTAATTCATCCATCATTCATCTCTTAATTTTTGAATGAATAACTTAATTGAAAAATTTAGATGCATTGCATTTAAAATATCCCGAGCTTGAATCTATTTTCCTTCAAATTTATGTCATAATTAAATCTATTTTTGGTCAACAATGTCATCCTTCCACCAAGTCTTCGTCAATTCATTAAGTTTGGCCTCATGTGTCGTCACATGATCCATTACCAAAAAAATGATTGATATATGGCATAAACTCTTTATTTAGTATAATTATTCTCCCATGATTTATGAATGATTGGTCCTTAATCATTGAGAATTAATTATATAATGTTTATGAAGCGATTAAATATCGAGTTGGACTCGATTTGGGATAAAATTGGATGTTTTAACCGCTAGTTGCTGCAAGTCAAGAAGTACAAAGATGTCGAGTTCCAGTAGGACACAATTGTTCTAAAGCGTGCCCACGCCCATCGACAAAATCGTGGCCCCGGAAGACCGAACGAATTCTCGCATAGAAGTTGAGGAAAAATAGAATCTTGCTCTTATCCTTTTAACTCCGCTTCTATCTTGTTGAGGCGACTTTTGTGGAAGGAGTGCACATCCTATTCGGGGATGGAGTCTTATGGGGAATTCCTTATAAAAAGGAAGAGAAAAACCCTAAAGGGGGATTGAAAAGGGGGTAGCAATTCGGACGAGCATCTTCACCTTAAAACCCAGACCTCCCTCTTAAAAGCATGAGTAGCTAAATTCTTCTTTCAGTCGGAGGATTATAGAGGTTTTTGGTTCAAGATTCATTGTGAGATCTTTGTAGTTTAATTATATCTTCTCTAAGAACATCAATTATTTTCTCGTGTTCATAAGACAAAGACCTCGCTTGATTGATTAAAAGACGTTTTGGTTAATTGAGTTTGAGTATTGGATGCCAATTGGAATGTTAAATTCGTATATGTTTAATTATTTCAATATCCGTGGCAATTTGATATGATTGATGAATTGAATCGTTAATTCATGTTAATGGGAATAATTGTTCCAATTTAAATAACCAAGTTCGTGAGTTATTAATTGGAAATTAATTGCTTTTCTATTTCTTCTTGCTATTATCAATTTAAATCTTAAGAGCTTGTTTAGGATTGATTGATTAATAAGAGCTGTGATTGAAGAGCTTATTTCAATCATCAATTATTAAGTAAATGATGGTTATTAGAACTCGTTAATAATCGGAATCAATTTGTTCCTTTGAGAAGATTATCAACCCATCGATGATCAATTGAATCGAACCATAACCAATATATATCTTCCGACTGGAAATTCATTCTCTCCGATTTTATTCCCTTATTTCTCTGTTTGATTTCCATTACAGCAACCTTGTTTTAATTTATCCATCCAAGAACCCCATTCAATTTTTTTATTTTCCTTTTAGAAAAGATCATCGACCAATCCTCGTGGAGTACGACTCTACTTCCCTTGACTACAAAACTCCATCCGTGAGAGTAGATAATTTATTTTGTTGGATTCGACACCCATCAATGACATATATTCTTGGTAAGGATGAGCATTGGTTTTTATTTTTTATTTTTTATTTTTTAATTTTGGTTTTTAACATTTCAGTTTAGTTTTTCGTTCATCGAACTCATCAAAAACACAAACAAACTGGAACTGAATTTGTTCTCGGTTTTTCAGTTTAGGTTTTATTTTTATTTTTTTTCAAAAATCAAATTTTTTATTATTGAAGATCATGTAAATAGCTCAAAAAAAAAAAATTTGTATTACGAACTATAAATTCCTTCCTCTAGCCTACATGGTCTACATTAGTCTATATAAAAGATAATAAATAGTCACGAGTTCAAACTTTATTTTTTTTCTCTTATTAAAATTGAATAATTAATCAAAGTTCAAATATGTTTTCTCTCTCTATATATATAATGAAAACAAAATTAAGTATTTTTAAAATCAAACCAAAACTAAATGATCGCAATTAATTCAATTTTAGTTTTTCATAACCAAATTTAATTCAAAACAACGCCTAACTAGTATTTTGATTTCAGTTGAATTAAAGTAATTAGTTTTAATCGAATATTGTTCACTCCTAATCCTAATAAATACTCCAAGACACGCCATCTTTTTCCTTCTTGAAACATAAGTTACAAAAGAAAGAAATAATAATAATAATAACACCAAACTGGTTTGAAAACAAAGTTTAGAAATTAAATAATCAAACTCTATCGTCTCTCTCGTCCTTTTAGGTCTTATGCAGATCTCCTTCACACTTCATATTATCACTCTCTAGTCCACAGCTCTCATCACCTCCTTTATCTTCCACCTTACGTGCATTATGATAAGCGGGTTTGCTAAATTTTGTTCTTTTAGTAAGTTTATGTTGATTTACTTATTGAGTGAGCTGAATTTTGTAGTAATGCTAACTTTCTTTGCATTCTTCTTTAATGGTTTTGGTTAAATCCTAATTTTAACCTTCTTTTTTTCTTGTCCATGAACTGATTTGTGAATTTGATTTTTTTTTTAATCATTTTTTTATTCTTTTATGTTTTGGGTTTTAATCAACTTTTTATCTAATATCTTAATCAACTTTTATTTTTAACTTTTGAAAAAGGAGATATGATCAACTTTCATTCTTTATGACTTTAACTCGTTTAGATTAAAAGTAAGAAACAAAGACAACATTTTTGTTTCTTAAATCTTCCATAAATCAGACTAGAAACTTGTTGTTTTCCTCTGTGTATCATCTTCTTTCTATATATCTTGACCTTGGATTTTCAGGTAATGATCTATATAACATCTTCTTTCTATGCTATAATTACATATCACTTCCAAAATCTTAATATCTATATGCATGTTTATAATTTGATTCTGAAATGTTGAGTATGATCTAAGGTCATTAGTTAAGAAAAAAATCAGAACCAAAGAAACATACTAAGAATAAAAATCAGTCGTCACTGCCAACAACCCTATAAAGTCAAGCAAAGAAAAAAAGATTCTTAAACTTGTCAAAGTAAACGATTCCCTAAACTGAGCTTCAAGTCTAAAAGCAGGCGTGAAATATTGACACCTAGAATAGACAAATTGTAGTGTTAAATATTGAAATATTGCTCTCCCGGAGACTAATTGTCGTGTTAAATAGACAAAGCCAGCCAATTTTTAAATAATAAAGTAATCAGCTAGAATCATGAGAGTATCAATGGATTTCATTTCCATACTTCTTTATTGCTTCACTTTTTTGCTGATTGTAAAAACAGCCACACCTATTGACACCATAAGCACAACTCAGTCTATTAGAGATGGAGATACCATAGTTTCAGCTAGTAGAACCTATGAGTTAGGATTTTTCAGCCCCGGCAAATCCCAAAACCGATACTTGGGGATATGGTATGGCAAAATACATATCCTGACAGCAGTTTGGGTTGCCAACAGAGAAACTCCACTTAACGATTCATCAGGCGTTCTAAGGCTTACTAACCAAGGATTTCTTGTTCTTCTCAATCGTAGTGGAAGCATCATTTGGTCTTCCAACACGACAACAACTGCTAAGAATCCAGTTGCAGAGCTTTTGGATTCAGGAAACCTTGTTGTGAAAGAGGAGGGGGATAATAAGCTGGAAAACTCCTTGTGGCAGAGTTTTGAACATCCAGGTAATACATTAATACCAGGCATGAAGGTAGGACGGAACAGAATAACTGGCATGGACTGGTACTTGACATCATGGAAGTCTTCAGATGATCCTTCCAGAGGTAATAGTACATGCACCATTGTTCCTTATGGATATCCAGAGTTAGTAGAGTTGGAAGGTTCAAAAGTCAAGTATCGAGCTGGACCATGGAATGGTCTGCAATTCAGTGGTTTGCCTCAAGTAAAACCAAATCCCGTGTACATGTTTGAATTTGTTTTTAATGCCAAGGAGTTAAGTTACCGAGAACAGCTTCATAATAGCTCAAGACATTTTATGCTCCAGGTAAGTCAGAATGGTGATGTCCAGCACCTCCTCTGGATCGAGCAAACCCAAAGCTGGTTACTTTACGCAACAGCAAATACTGATAATTGCGATAGTTATGCACGCTGTGGTGCAAATGGTATCTGTAATATTAACAACTCCCCAATGTGTGATTGCTTGAATGGATTTGTACCAAAAGTTAGAAGAGATTGGGAGAAGACAGATTGGTCAAGTGGTTGCGTTAGAATGACTACACTAAATTGTTCTGGAGATGGGTTTCGGAAGCTCTCAGGTGTGAAGATGCCTGAGACAAGAAACGCATGGTTTAACAAGAGTACGAATCTTGAGGAGTGCAAGAACTCGTGCTTGAAAAACTGCAACTGTACGGCTTATTCAAACTTGGACATCAGAGATAGAGGAAGTGGGTGCTTGCTTTGGTTCAATGATCTGATTGATATAAAAACGTACGATCAAAATGAGCAACACATCTTTATACGGATGGCTGCATCAGAACTAGGTATGAATTTATCATCGGACTAGATGTCGGTATCTATTACTAGGATTTCAGTAACTCTTACTCAAGTCATATATTTGGGAAGATTAATTTCTTTTTTCTAAATGATTTTTTTTTCAAAGATAAAAGTTTCCAGCATACTAATTACTACGCAAACAAATAAAATGTGCATTTGGCATTTTCTATTTACTGTATTTTAACTCCAGTTTTTTTCTGCCATGGTATAGGTAATGAGGATGGTGCAAAGGTCAATACTGAAACCAATGTGAAGAGAAAAAGGATCGTGGTAAGCAGTGCGTTGTCCACAGGAATTTTGTTCATTGGCCTAGGTTTGGTCTTGTATGTTTGGAAAGACAAGCAGCAGACAAACAGTACGTATTCATACCATCAAAATCTAACCACTCCTATCTTCCCATTCCTCGATTTCAGATAAGAAGTTTATTTCTAAATTTGTTTATTTTTAAATTTAATTTTTAGTAATCTAAGGTATGATAGCAAGTTGTTCAAAACTTCATTAAATGAATTTGAGTTTAACAGCAGCAAATAGAGATCCCATGTCTTTTTTCTTTTTCTTTTTTTCTTTTTTTTTTTTTTTTCATTCATAGCAGTTATGCTGACTGGAAAAATGACAGGTAATTTGCAAAGAAGTTCAAATAACAAGGACATGAAGGAAGAACTAGAATTACCATTCTTTGAAATGGATGATTTGGCTTGTGCAACAAATAACTTTTCTGCTGCCAATAAAGTGGGAGAAGGGGGTTTCGGACCTGTTTATAAGGTAATAATTATCTCTTTTTTTTCGCTGAAAAGGTAAAAAATTATCTATAAACAGTCATGCAATATGGCTTCAGAATTTCTTGCTGCAAACTCCTTACACTAGTGTTTTCTGTGGTATGGTTTTCTTATGATGCTGAGTGATTATTTGCAGGGAGCATTACCAGATGGCAGAGAAATAGCTGTGAAGAGGCTCTCAAAGAATTCAAGACAAGGACTTGATGAGTTCAAGAGTGAAGTTAAACATGTTGTCAAACTTCAGCATCGGAATCTAGTGAGTCTTCTA